TTTCAACCAGGTAGTCAAGAGATTAGAAAGATGAATAGGATGTCATCTTACAGTAGTGAGGTTGTCACAGCGGGATTGGATGGCCTGGATGAAGAGGCCACTGGCAGCAGAGTTGCGGTGGACAGCACTTATGAAGTCCTGCACTGGCGGCTCATGGGAAAGGCTGATGAGGTCACGAACATGATTGACAATCAGCCAGGTGAGATGCTCCGAGTCATGGAGATTCTGACACTACAAAGGTGAGAAAAAAAACAATGCTTTTATTATGTAAAGCACTTATAAATCTAATTTACTTTTGCTCATTAGTGTTTTGAGATTTAAATATTGTTCTTCATAGATAGTAAAGAGCAAATATATCCAAATGTAATTTTCAACATGTTTTCTAGCTGAGAATAGTATATCGTGATCTATGTATAATTTATCCCAACAGTATGGTCCCATATTCTTAGTAATCTTACCACATAGTCACAGAAGAGGATTACAGCTCCCCTGCGTACAATCTCTCTGTTAACCATTGCTAACTGGGACTCAGGCTTGTCCTCTTCACCTTCCCCTGAGGAATGAGGGCTCAGCAGCTTTGTGGATGAGAGACTGTGTCGTCTGATAAAAAGAAAACAAGGCACAGTTTTAAAAGGGAGAGTTTTTCCTCATTTTATATCCTCATTGACTCATTTATAATAATTAAAAAGTGCACACAAATACACCTGACCCCAGTCAATCCCCTCGCACTGTTCTTACCTGGGTGTCTGATGAACCTCAGCCCACCAAGAGTAGTTGGTGTAGTTAATGATGAGAAGAACTTGGCACCAGAGGAGCACAAGGGATGGGTGGGTGGTGATGAGGCACTGTACCATGCTGTTCAGACCTTCTAAGGGGTAGAAGAGGTTGGCCTCTGTGACTGTCTGTCCATTCTCACCCTTCAGGAGACGGCTGGCTGCAGCTGTGATCCTGCGAAACATTCCTAGGAGGGAACAAAAATGAAAAATAGGTAAAAGAACTTAATCTGAATTATATTTGATATATTATTTTTAAAATATCATTCAGGGAGTTTGTGCATTTCCCAGATTTTACATGCTTACCACTTTTGAAGACATGTATGAGACACATGAGCAGCGTGCCCAGCTGCTGGCAGTAGAAGGTGTGCTGCTGCTCAGTGATCTCTACTTTAACCTGCCTGGTTGAAATGTCATCCAACAACACACCTACAAGCTGGAGAAGGAATCTAGATGGGAGGTGCAAAAGAGAGAAGTGAAAGAAAGTAAAAAGGCAAGAAGAGTTAGACCCTTGGAGGCAATCTGGTAGCTGAGAAAACAGAGCAGAATAGAAACCTTTCTCAGCCTGTTAAAGATAGTAAATAATAACCTGGCAAATGTTTCCTCAGGTGGAGCCTTTTGCGTTTCACCATTAGTTTCCTGTTTGTAGATTGTGTCAGCAGCAGGCGGGTCGTTTGGGGAGGGGCTATGCTGATGCAGGCGGCGGATAGCGTGGCAAGAGAGGAGATTTGGAGAGAGTGCCAGCTCATGGACACGGGAAAGCACAATGTCTTCAGTGGACTGCGAGACCAGTACCCTAAGCACTGCCAGGATACCAGATACCCACAGCTGGACTGTAGCTACAGATGCCTGCAAGAACCAATGTCAGATTTCACATCAAATCTTACCTTTTCCTGTTTTTTTTTTTTTTTTTTTTAAATAAATCAGTCACTTAAAAGCTAGAGAAATTGTGAAAAAGTGCACACTATCTGATGAGATGTCTCACCATGGTGGCTGGGATGGTGAACATACTCTTGAGCAGCATGTCAACAGGTCTGAGAGAGGAGGGTGCCACCGTCTCAAACAGAGTGTTTAATACTCCTAATGCCTCTGGAGAGTCCAGATGCATCTGTGTAGACCAAACATAAAAATATGCTTACTGAAACAAACAGAAATTGCCTGATCACGCATCTGTATAAATTACTGCAAAAATCAGTTGGCTTTAACCATCAAGGTTAACCCAACATATAAACTTGCAAACAATTTCCTACCTGCTGCTTGGCAATCATGGGAAGTATGACGTCTGCAATCTGTCTGGATAATCTCTTCCACTTGTCTTCATTCTCTTTGTGACACTGCTGCAGTACAAGAATGAACATCTCCAACACCTGCAGCAGACACATGAAAGCATGAGCAAGGCAGAAAACAAGTGGGTTGAATATCTGATGATGTAGCATGCTGTGTCTCTGCATCTACTTGTAAACATACCTGATGGTACTGCACAAGTCTTAGCAGCATGGAGACCACAACTTCTTTCTGTGTATCCAGCTCCTTGCCTGCATCAGCTTTGTTTGAGCCCCTCAAGACAAACAGATCGTGAACTATAGGCTGCAAGGCTGGGATGGCTGTAGACGAAGCAGAAAAGTGTAAATGTAACCATCAACAAGAAAACCTTTGGAAGTTAAAAGAGGAATTAAAAATTATATAAGTCATATGCATTCCTCTCACCATGTGTGACAGCTTTTCTGCCACTTGCCATAATGCCATCACACAGCTGGATGATCTTGGGAATGCTGATAATCTGCTTGGAGTGGTAGCGTTCATAAGACAGTAGCACCAGGAAGAAAAAGATGTTGGGAATGATGGCCTCTGAATCTCTGTAAGTGATGCAAACAGTTATTTTATTTCCCAGGAAACATATGTGACAAGCTTTTAAATAAATAAATATACGCATGCATGCATGCATGCATACATACACGCATACATGCATACATACACACATATATATACACACACACACACACACACACACACACACGAGAAATCTGAAATTTTTACTGACTCAAAACATACCTGAACTGCCCCACTTCAATGTACTCAAACTGTTTCAGGACAAAGCCAATGAACACCTAAAACATAAATTTCTGAATGAGCCATACTATAAAATTTGAAGTTGGAGATGACCAAAAAAAAAAAGTGCATGTGTTTGTCTTACCTGGTCTGAGTCTAGCAGGCAGTAGTTGACTCTGAGCTGCACAAGCTGAGCAAGCAGGTCCAGTACTTGTCTTTGCAGCGCCACAGATGTGCTGGTGGTATACTGCTTCAAAGCTTTGATCACCAACGGCTCAAACAGTCGAATGTGGTTATGAATGGCATTCTGAGAAAACACAAGATGCAACTCTCAAAACAGCAGCAGACCACATAAGCGACTCTTAGCGCATAATATCAGTATGGAACAGCAGCAAGACAATGAAAGGGTACCTTGTCTCCTCTGTGACGCGCTGCATTTGTGATGCTGGATCTCAGTTGATTGGATGCTTTTTGCATTACATCAAACCATCTTAAATTAAAGAAAAAAAGAAGAAGAAAAAGCACAGACTTATTATCGCACTTAGTTCATACATTTTATATTACTTACACACACACACACAAGCCCGTTCAGCTATCTTAGTGAGGACGTTCATTGACATAATGCTTTCCCTAGCCCTTTACCCTAACCTTTAAAAATGAATGACTAACCCTAACCCTTACCCTAAACCTAACCATAACCTAATTGTAACCCTGACACCAAAACCACATTTTGAGCCTCAAAAAGGCCTTCAAACTTGTGAGGAC